GATAGATAGATAGATAGATAGATAGATAGATAGATAGATAGATAGATAGATAGATAGATAGATAGATGGATGATCGATAGATAATGACACACGGGCGATGGGGTCGAGGGGCAGAGAAACGAGCAGAAGACGACTACAGAGCCTGGGCAAGAGAGAAGAGCCACCCCATCGTTGACTACACTCATGCAGGCTCTACCCACCCTTCACCATATGCACCTAAACCATAACAATGAGGTCATTTGAGATCTAATTCTCAGCAGGCAAAAGTATACTTGAGGTTAACAGCATATAGTATTCTACAGCCCTTAAATTTTGAGGTAAATTTTGAATAATGACATTAAAGTCCCATACTGAAAAAGTAAGTTTCAAAAGCGATTAAACTGTTAATCTGTACAAAGATCAACTGAGTTTCTTAACTTTCCATCCAAACAAGTAGATTCTGAATTCTCCAAAAGGATCCTACCCAGCTAGTTACCAAAATACCTACTGGGTAGAGTCTGAGGCTCCAGTAGAGCAATATGTACTATGTTATACTATAATGGGATGAGGGGAACATATTTAGCTCTGTCCTTGGAATGTTTAAGGGAAAAAATCAGAATCTGTAAGCTTTTCCAAATTAAGTTTTAATGATCTCTCCTTGTCAGTTTTCCCATTTGATTCTATCTGTAATTTTGTAAACTTTGAGAAATATTCCAGTACATATATGTGATGAAATATTGTTTTATGTAACTTTGTAAATTTGCAAAACTACACAAAATGAAATTAATGTAATTGAATTAATTCAAAGGAAATTATTCACCATGAAATTAAAAATCTTTCTATAGAAGTACAGCCAAAATAATGAATTGTAATAAGTATCTACAAAAGTTACATTAAAAATTGAAACATCAAATGAGAGGGAAAAGTAAATATACATATGCACACATATTTACATATAGACATTCTCCTATCCTACTTGCACTCAACCAAATCATAGAATCAGGGGTACTCGCCAATCTCTGACTCTCACCTATGACATGCTGAAAGCTGGGGGTTAGTAAACTTGTCACACGTGCTTATGCTCCCTCCAGAAGAGTGGTATTTTGTATCCAGAATTAATCCAGTTGAACCTGCTATAGTAAATATGTGACCTAATTAAATTTATGGAAACCATTAAAATATGAGTACAGAGAAGAGCTGTTTCCATAAAATGGAAATGCAAAGCTTTAGAAAATCATAATAAAGGTGAATCATTGTATTATTTAGGGCAGAGGTTCTCAGCCTTAGCGCTATTGACATTTTAAGGTTGGATAGCTCTTTGTTAGGATTGTCCTGTGCCTTGTAGGATGATTAAAAGCATCCCTGGTCTTTACCCACTAAATGCCAGTATTTTTAATATTCCATTTTATCTATATGTCTTATAACTATATCAGTTGGTGTAGCTTTTTTTTTTTTGCGGTAAGCGGGCCTCTCACTGCTGTGGCCTCTCCCGCTGCGGAGCACAGGCTCCGGACGCGCAGGCTCAGCGGCCATGGCTCACGGGCCCAGCCGCTCTGCGGCATGTGGGATCTTCCCGGACCGGGGCACGAACCCGCGTCCCCTGCATCGGTAGGCGGACTCTCAACACTGCACCACCAAGGAAGCTCCATTTTGTGTAGCTTTTTAAATTGCTGTTGTAGGGAATACAATATACATACTTTTCACCATCTACTCTAAAGTCCATGTGTTACTTCTTGAATGGGAACGTAGAAATTTTACCACCATATTGGTCCCTTTATCCTCACCCCTTTAAGTTGTGATTGTCTCATGTATTAAACAGATCCTTTATACAATGTTAAAATTTTTGCTTTCAATCATTGTGATAGGCATAATAATGCTCTCTCTCCCAACACACACACACACACACACATGCACACACACGCACACACACATGCACACACACACACACACAAAGGAATACTACCATGCCAATACCTTAATTTTAGCCCAGTGAAATCTGTTTTAGACTTCTGAACTACAGAACTGTAAGATAATAAATTTCTGTTGTTTTAATCACTAAATTTGTGGTAATTCGTTTCAGCATTCACCGAAAACTAATATAAATACTAACCACGTAAAGTTCAGTCAAAATGGTAGACTCTACTGACCCTGAAAGAATCCTCTTCTATTCATAAATACATCACAAATAAAATTTGTGATAAATAACATTTTATCACAAATTTTCAAGATTTTTTTATTCATAGATGAACTTTACATAAAAAATGAAAGAAAAAAATTTCCAGATGCTAGGGGAAAGCAGAGATAGCTGAAAATTGGCAGACAAAAGAGTAACTCATGCAATGATTGGGAGAGGGTAGGACACAGGGTTTCGGACACAGTAGGGGCCTTAAGACAATGGGGTAGGATTTTACCATCCACACAAGAACTGGAAACAATAAATTATGGCCAAAGCCAGAAGATGTGAAGATGTTACTGATCCCTCCAATAAAAATACGGAGATATGAATGATTATATTACACATATATTTTGCACAAATTGGCCCAAGAATTGACAAGAATGCTTGCCAGCTGCACATGACCATAGGTGGAAAACAAAGTCACCTGTAATAAATGTCAAATCTCAAGCCTTGGCACTTATAAGCACATGGTCCAAAATTACATCTGCACTGGTATAAGAAATTATAAAATCAGAAATTAGAATAAAACCCCTAGAGTCTCCTGAAGAAGCAAATGTAAAAATTCCATTAAGGGAGCTTCCACAACTTCTGGCATATAAGAGAAAAAGTTCTGATGAAGATATAATCACAATTCAATAATAACAATAATATCAATAGCAATAATAAATTGCACTGAAGTAAAATACCATGAAAATGAGTCAGGAGACAAACATACAAAAAAAAAGAGAATTAGAATCTCATGAACTCAGAATATCAGAGAAACATGATCAAAAAGTATTTAAAAATATATTTTAAATGATTGGAGTTTTTTAAGGAATAGAAAAAAATAATGAAGGAACAGAATTGTATGAGGAAATATTAGGCAGATTTCAAAGGAAACCAAATAGAACTTCTAGACAAAAAAGCATATTTAAAAAAAATTTTTTTTAAACACTGGCTAGAAAAAGCAGCAGATAGGTGGGAATGTGAATTGGTACAGCCACTATGGAGAACAGTATGGAGGTTCCTTAAAAAACTACAAATAGAACTACCATATGACTCAGCAATCCCACTACTGGGCATATACCCTGAGAAAACCATAATTCAAAAAGAGTCATGTACCAAAATGTTCATTGCAGCTCTATTTACAATAGCCCAGAGATGGAAAAAACCTAAGTGTCCATCATTGGATGAATGGATAAAGAAGATGTGGCACATATATATAATGGAATATTACTCAGCAATAAAAAGAAACAAAATTGAACTATTTGTAATGAAGTGGATGGACCTAGAGTTTGTCATACAGAGTGAAGTAAGTCAGAAAGAGAAAGACAAATACTGTATGCTAACACATATATATGGAATTTAAGGGAAACAAAAACGTCATGAAGAACCTAGGGGTAAGACAGGAATAAAGACACAGACCTACTAGAGAATGGACTTGAGGATATGGGGAGGGAGAAGGGTAAGCTGTGACAAAGCAAGAGAGTGGCATGGACATATATACACTACCAAACGTAAAATAGCTAGTGGGAAGCAGCCGCATAGCACAGGGAGATCAGCTCGGTATTTTGTGACCACCTAGAGGGGTGGGATAAGGAGGGTGGGAGGGAGGGAGACACAAAAGGGAAGAGATATGGGAACATATGTATATGTATAACTGATTCACTTTGTTATAAAGCAGAAACTAACACACCATTGTAAAGCAATTATACTCAAATAAAGATGTAAAAAAAAAAAAAAAAAGAAAAGAAAAAAGAAAAAGCAGCAGATAAAATAGAGCTGAAAATTAGAGAACAAAAAAACCTGGGAATAAAAAGTGAGATCTGAAGATATTATTGAAAATCTGGCAAGAATGACACAAAGATGGAAAATATGAACAGTGTTACAATTAGAAGATCCAAACACAATTACTTAGAGATGTAAAATAAGAGACTAGAGAGAATGGAAGTAGATAGTGTTATTGGAAATATTTAAACAAATAAGAGTGCAAAGCTTTCAAGAATTAAAGCATGCATGAGAATCTAATCCTGGGTGAGATGGAATAAGCACACCCCAGCCTCTCTCTCCCACTTAATGCTACCAAACCTGGACAGAATGCATGGAGTATTTGAGGACTCTGAAAATTAAGTAGTAGCAAGCAAATTGAGAAAGATGACCAGAGTTTGAAGTACCACCACAGTGACAGTGAGTAATTCTAAGAAATACACCATCACCCAAGTCACAGACTGCCTCTGGGTGGTACGCGCATGAGATAAATCTAAATACACTACAAAGTCTTTGAAATCTCTCCAAAGAAGGCTAGTCAAAACTGACAGTCTAAACCCAACTGTGCCAATTGCCTGCTTTTA